AGTCCAATTTAATGATCTTCTCTTTTGAATTAGCATTTTTCATGTCTTCTTTATAAGATCTATTCCACACCAAGGCATACAGGTATTTACCTATTCTTTTTCTATCTTTGTGGTTCGACCTATTATGTGTAAGACTATACTCTACTTGAATTAACTTTTGTAACAAAAAAGAGTTAAATTTTTTGTATTGGTGATCACTTAATTCAGAGCCATTTATTGAAAAAGCATCCTTTCACCACTGAATTTTAGTAGCATTTTATTGAAAATTAGTTTATCTTATCTACATCTATGAGTCAATTTCTGAGGTTTCTACTCAGTTCTGTTGGTCTTTAGTTCTCTCCTTGCATCACACTAGATGACTCTGCATTTATCTTTTAAATGTTAAACTAACCTTGCATTCCTGGAATAAATCAAACATGGTTGTGATGTAGCATTACCTTATTGAAACATTCCACTTAGGGGCTGGGGATTTAGCTCAGCGGCATAAGCGCCTGCCTTGCAAGCAGGCAGTCCTGAGTTCAATCCCTGGTACCAATTTAAAAAAAAAAAAACACCAAACATTCCACTTAAATATTCTTTTTTTTTTTTTGTCTTTTTCCTTTTTATCGGTACCAGGGATTGAACCCACGACTGCCTGCTTGCAATGCAGGTGCTTATGCCGCTGAGCTAAATCCCCAGCCCCTGACTTAAATATTCTGAATAAAACAAAAGATGTACATTTCTACTTATTTATATATTTAGTTTTAGTATGGGGATCAAACTCAGGACCTCACATTGCCAGGTGGGCACTTATGCTGCTGAGCAGTCTCTCTCTCTCTCTCTCTCTCTCTCTCTCTCTCTCTCTCTCTCTCTCCTTTCCTCCCTCCCTTCCTCCTTCTTTCTTTCTGGGACAAGGTCTCACTGTGCATTTCAGGCTGGTCTTGAAAGTACTTTGCAGCCTAGGCTGGCCTCAGACTAGCACTGATCTATCTTCAGCCTCCCCAGTGCTGGGATTACAGCGCCAGCACGCCTGGTTTGCATTTGTGTTTCTGAGAGAGATGAGTCTTTAATTTTGACTTTTGTTTCTCTTTTTTAGCACTGGCCAAGTTTATTTGAAAAAATAAAGAGTGAGGGAGAAAGTGGCTCTGCAGAGCAAGTTTGGGTGGAGTGAAAGAAAAAAACCAGACAAACGCTCACGCTGGAGGAAGCAGGACAAACTTCATGAAGGAAGCCACAGCTTTTCCTGAAGTGTGCTTGTCTGACTTTGATGTCAAAGTTGTGTTCACCTCATGAGATATATTGGTTAGTACTCTCTCTTTTCATTATTTGGAAGAGTCTGTGTAAGAAAAAGAAGTCTTGCTTTTTGCTTTCTTTTTATTCTTCTCCTCCTCCTTCTTCTTCCTCTTTTTTTTTTTTTTTTTTTTTTTTTGGTACTATAGATCAAAACCAGGGTCACTACACCCTAGATCTTTAAACGTTTTGTTTTTTTTTTTTAATTTTTTTTTGCTTTTTTCTATTTTATTGGTACTGGTGATTGAACTCACGACTGCCTGCTTGCAAGGCAGGCACTTATGCCACTGAGCTAAATCCCCAGCCCCACGTTTTTAAAAATTTAATTTAAAACATTTTCCCTGATTGATGTGTTTTGAAATTTTGTTGAAGTTTCTCTTCTTCCTCCTGCTTCTTTTCTTTGTTTTTATCCTTAAATAAAATGGATTTGAAAAAAATTTTTTGAGAGTTGCTTTCCATCTCCTGAATTTAAGCAATGATCCTCCTACCTCAGCCTCCCCTGCCTGGGATTGTAGTTGTTTGCTACCACCATAGGCAAAACTGAAATTTTCTTTTCAGAATTTTTTAAATTTATGTAATCAATTTCTCTCTCTCTCTCTCTCTCTCTCTCTCTCTCTCTCTTTCTCTCCCTCTCTCTCTCATTCTGTCCTGAGACAGAGTCTTATGATGCAGTTCAGGCTGGTCTTGAACTCACAGTAATCCTGTTGCCTCAGCCTCTTTAGTGCTAAGATTACAGGCACGTGCCCCCTACAGTGGGGAAAATCATGCGTGTGTGTGTGTGTGTGTGTGCGTGTGCGCGTGCGCGTGTGCGTGTGTGTGTGTGTGTGTGTGTGTGTGTGTGTGTGTGCGCGTGTGTGTGTGTGTGTACTGACAATTGAACTCAGGGCCTTATACATGCTAGGCAAGTGCCTTACCACTGAGCTATAGCCTCAGCCCCCAGTTTTGTGAATAGCTATGGAATTGTTTAGATTTTTTTTATTTCTCCTTAAATGTCTTTGGATAATTGTGTTTTTCTAGGAATATGTCCAGTTCTTCCAAATTTTCAAATTCATTGGCATAGCATGGTTTATAATATTCTCATATGTTCTGTGATATTTAAAGTGATGCCACTTTTATTTTTCTACTATTGTTTAATGGTGCTTTTTGAAATTAATCTTTCCAAATTTATTGAATTCATTTTTAAAAGGGCGAATATTTTGTGGAGCTTGTCTACTGAATGTTTATTTTCCCTTTTATTAATTTACCTCAGCTTTTTCTTTCTTCCCATTAAGTTTAAATTTTCCCAGACTTCTTGCAGTACATGCCCATGTCAATGATCCATGCTCAGTGAGACCTTTCTTGTTTGTTTGTCTGTTTGTTGTTTGAAAAGTATGTTAGTTTTTTTCTCTTGTTGCTGAGACAAAATACCTGACATCCCAAAATAAAGGAAGAAAAGGTTTATTTAGCTCACAGTTTGTGGAGATTTCAGTCCATAATCTGCAGGCTATAAGAGAGGGTGGCATGGCTGAGGGCAACAGTTCATGATGGCAGAAAACAGCAAAAGCAACAAGAGCAGAAAGAGAGGAATGTGTGAGAAGCCTTCCCTCCCTTGTATGGTGTATAGACCACACCCACCCTAGAGCAGGTGCAGCACTCACACCCCCAATCCCAGCATTGGACCATGAAGTGATCACAAATTCTAGAAGCCTGTCCTCATTACTGCATGAGGCTTTGGGGGACATCCAGATACCAACCATAACAGACTGGGTCTCACTATGTGATCCAAGCTGGCCTAGAACTCACTACATAGCCCAGGCTGGCCTCAAACCTGTGTCAATCCTCCTGCCCCAACCTAGCTCTGGGATGACAGGCATGCACCATGGTAAGACCTTTCTTGACTGCCTGCTTCAATTTGAAACACCTCTTCTCCCTCCTTTTCTCCCACATTTTTCCCTTGGCATTCAGCACCATTTAACACACCATATATTCTCCTGATTTATCATCCCTTGCTGTTGTTATCCAGTTGAATCCCTTCAAAGGCAGAGTTGTGCATTTTATTCCATTCCCTGTTGAATCTCCAGGACTAAAACCACTTCCTCTTTAATAAAGAAAACAAAGAGTATGTGTGTCCAGCAATGAAACTAGAGCTAGATTTATCTTCATGTATATTAGCACACATCTGCAGTACATAGTGATCGCATTCATCCTGGGCTGTTAGTATGCACAGAAAAAATCTTAATTTTTTTTACTTTCTTTTACCTTCCCTTCCTCCCTCTTCCATTTTGGTTCCCCTTCCCACTTACAGAGGATCTATTTCTCTATTTCCTATGACCTATCTTTTCTTTTATTCAAAGTTTTTATACTTTGGTTTCTTCATATAATAGAAATCTTGTGATATTTGTGCTTGACTATCTGACTTACATCACTTAACATCATGGTCTCAAAATGCGTCCCCTTTTCTACCAATGACTCAAATTTATCCTTCTTTATGGCAGAATAGTACTCCATTGTGTGTAAACTCCACATTTTCTTTATCCATTCATCTACTTACGGGCAAACAGGCTGCCACCAAGATTTAACTATTATTAATTGTGCTGTTATAAACATGGGTGTGCACAGATAACTGTATACCATGTCTTTACCTCTTTCAGAAAGAAACCTAAAAGGAGAATAACTGGGTTGAAGGGAATTTCTAGTTTCAGGGTTGTTTGTTTTTGAGCCATCTACATACTGATTTCCACAGTGATTGCCCTGGTTTAAACTCCCACCCACAGTGTGGAAGGGCTTCTTCTCTCCCGTAGCCTCACCGCCATTTGTTATTATTTTATTTCTTGATAAGAGCCATTGTTTCTGGACTAAGATGGAATCTCAGTGTTGTTTTAATTTGCGTTTCCCTAATGACCTATGATGTTGAATATTATTTCATATATTTATTGGCTATTGTACTTCTGAGAAACGTCTATTCAATTGCCCATTTTTGATCAAGTCTTTTTTTGGGGGGAAGGTCTCTTTTTTTTAATGTCTTTGTGTATTTCAGGTATTGGTCTTGTATCCAAGGAGTAGCTGGCAAAAAACCAAACCAAAACAAAACAAGTGACAACAACAAAACCTATTCTGTAGTTTGTCAACGGCTAACTTTATTGAGCCTCATTCCACAAAGCTTAACAAGAAAGGACAAGTAGTATTTACTTTTTATAGAGGGGGAAATCAGGGCACAATAAACAGGAAAATACTGATTAGAAACCTAATTTTAATCCAACCTGTGCTGTTTCCTAAAACCTCTAGGTCTCGCCTTTAAGAATTTAGTAAGAAAAAAAAAAAAATTCAGTAACAAGCAGGGCGGGGTAGTGCACGCCCCCATCCATAATGCCAGTAATCTGGGAGACTGAGGCAGGGGGATCACAAGTGTGAACCCAGCACAGAGCGAGGGTGGGTGTGTTAATGACTTAGGGAGCTCGGTTTCAAAATAAAATTGAAACATGAGGATGTAGCTCAGTGCAAAGGCCTTGGGCTCAATCCCCAGTACCAAGGAAAAAACCTGTGCAGAGCGGCGTGACCGAGGTCCGACTCCGCAGTGGGGAGCCGGCGCTCCACGGCCTCTCCAGTGGCTGAGCACGTGGGTCTTCCAGTGAGCCACCACAGGAACACTGCATAGGAATCGCTCTGCCCTGGACACCGCCCAGTGGTGGATTGGGTCGCTTTTAGTTACCAAGACCAAGAAAGCAGCCCTAAAGGGGTCGGGGTAGGTATGCAGGACCTGCGCAGTCTTGCTAGGGAGCAAGCGGATGGGTCCCTGCAGCCGCAGGAGTCCGGAACCCAAATTCCAGGGTTGCAGTTTCCGGCGGGAGGTCTCCTCCGGCTCTCCCGGAAGCGACTTCCGCTACCCGGGTAACGGACCGGGGCGTCCTCTTGGTGCCTGTGGGATGGAGCTGGAGGACGCGGTAAGAAGGACGCTGGCGGGCTGGGGGCGGCCAGCGGCGGGAGGAGAGCGGCTCGGGGAAGGACGCTGGAGTTTCTGGCTCGGCGAGGTTGCCGTGACGGAGGGCGGAGCTGTGGGTTAGTGGGTGGCCACCCACGTGGCTCGCCCTTCTCCGCGGGACCACCCACGACACAAGCAACCTTTGATGTGGGGGACCCGGGCATGAACCCAGATGGCCCCAGGGCATCCCTGCGTCTCTCTGGGAATCTTGGCCGCCTCTTGCGCGGAGATTCCTAAACTTGGGCTTGGGGAGAACCTGAGATGTCCACGTTAACATTAGCGTTATCAGTAAGGGGTCATTCGAAATTTTACAAAATTATCAGAATAAATCTGACAGGCCATTTGACGTGCGGCGTAAAATGCGACCTTCTTCGATGAGACTGAGTGTTCGGTAATTAAGTGGGAACAGGAAGTCAAACCAGAGACATGGAAGTCGGATAATTAGGCCTCTGTGTGTGTAGAACAAGACGGGTATGGAAAGCTGGTAGGAGCTGCTTGGTACAGGTTAATTCGGTAGTGAACGACTAATGTCTAAATACTAAATATGAAATTAATAATTAGCAGGGCATGGCGGCACACACCTGTAATCCCAGCACTTGGAGGCTGAAGCAGGAGGACAGGACTCTATTAGAGGCCAGCCTGGGCCACACAGTGAGTTCCAGGTTAGCCTAGAATACATAGTGAGACTCTGTCTCAAAAAGATAAACAAAGAAAAAGACCAAGCAATTAATAATTACGTAGCATTTATGCTGTGAGTGGATCCCATGTCTGTTTTGTTCACCTTTGAATCTCCAGAACCTAGTAAAATGCATACTACACACCCAGCTGACACACTTTTTACTTCTGAATAAATAAATGAGCTTGAAATAATCTTAATAAAAACTAGTTCCTTAAAAAAATGGACGGAAAACAGTAAAAATGGAAATAAAGTTGTGTAAAGGGAGAGGGGATGGGGAGGAATGGTGGGGATAAGATATGTTACATACAGGTACAAATTCCCTATGATGATTGTGATTATTGTATATGTCAAAAGTGTACCAATATAATTAATTTTTAAAAATTAATTTCATTGGAGGAAGCATATATGTTTTTGGTCGTCCTATCAGAAGTTCATGATGGCCATTTAATTTTAAAGTGTGGTGATGCACACCTGTAATCCCAGCACTCAGGAGACTGAGAAAAGAGGATTACCCCAAGTTCAAGGCCAGCCTGGGCCACATAACAAGATCCTGCCTCAAAAAACCTAAAGAAATAAAAATAAAGTCTGTATACTTCTTGTCTTTTTTTTCCTTACACTTACAAGGAGTTTTATATTCTCATCTTTATTTACCCTTATCATTTTTCATCTCTCTGTTCTCCTCTCATACTTTGCATATTTGGTACATTTTCTCTAATAGCTTAATTCAGTTTCACACTGCACAAGAGACTGGATGTTTCTTGTTTGCAGATAAATATGTCTCTGCTCGGTTTTCTTGGGATTTTTTTATGTATAGTATAAAATTCCCAGGAACTTTTCACATAGAACTAAGAACTGCAGGCATTAGGATTATGGTGTAATGAAAACACTTTTGCTATCTTTTTCTATAGAAAGAGTTAAAAGAACGCTGCGCTCAGTGTGCTGCTGTCTCTTGGGGTCTCACTGATGAAGGCAAATATTACTGTACTTCCTGCCACAATGTTACAGAAGTAAGTAATGGGGGGGGCAGTTTTACATTTTCTTATATTTTAAAATTTTCAGCAGAAGGCTGGGCTACTGCTTAGTTCACAGTGAGCGTATTTTTATCTCGTACAAAACCTAAATTCCAACAATTAGTTGTCTTCAGGTGATGTTTAAGTTAGGAATTTGCAAGTCAGATTGAGAATGAACAATCAGAATTGAAGGCTTTGGTATGAATTATCCTATTTAATCATCCCAAACTTATGTAAGTCACGTTAAAAATAGTGATACTTTTCTAATTTCAGTTTTAGAGTAACATTCAGACATGGGAAAGGAGATCAAAACTAAATTGCACGTAGGTCAGACAGCAGCAGTTATAGTAAACACGCATCGTTTTAGTACTGAAGTGTGTTTTGCATAGAGACAAAATTGAGTCAGTTTGACTTTTGGGTTGGTGTGCGAAAGCCTTAAAAGTTTATTCGTTTAGCAGATACTTAGTGATGATTACTTTGTTTAGGTACTATTTTAGGAACTGAGAGATTCTGAATAAAAAGCAACCAAAAGGGCTGGGGATTTAGCTCAGCGGCATAAGTTCCTGCCTGGCAAGCACAAGGTCATGAGTTCAATCCCCAGTACTAAAAAAAAATAGGCAACCAAAGATGCACCAGAATGGGAGGTTTAACATCTCCCCGAGATGCTACCAGCCTTAGTTTTAGCTCGCCCACTTCAGTTCTTCACACTGACCAGAGCGTCTTTGGAAACATTACTTAGGGGGATGGAAAGCTACCTTAACATCTACTTTGGTTTCCTACAGAGATCTAAGGAAGTTACCAACACTGATGTTATTCCTAACACCAAGATAAAATCCATCAGCAGGGGCCTCAAAAGGAGAAGCAAGTTGGGTGAGCTCTTTGTTCATAAGCGTTGAATGTCTTTATTAATGTCTTTCACTGTGATGACTTGGGGACAGAAAATGGAATTTTATGTCGATTCTAGAGAAAATGCCAGATTTTAAAGCAGGTATGGTTTATCCAAAACAGAGTTAAAGTTGGTAGCTCGGGATGGTAGATTGTACATGAATGTATCTACATGTGTCCTTTTCTTTCTTACCTTGCTGTTTTTGTCAGTGACTCCAATTTCCAGTGGAGCAGCTATGATGCAGATGCTGATAAAACCAAAAGGAGCATTTGTTCTTTTTATGCCCTGGCATAGTCTCCTGTCCTTCGTAGCTATTGATTATGGGTAAAGTTTTCTGTGCTTTTAAAGGAAAACGCTTCCGTTTTGAAATGATTCAGCAGTAAGATGTTAGGTAAGGCCAGCGAAGCATGGTATCAGTTTTCCAAGTCCCATGTCACACACTGAACTGTGACACACCCTTTTAAAATAGGGAAGATTATTCTCTCTTAAAATCGCCATGGGTGTGCCTGGAGAGGCAATCATGTCATTAATCCAGTGAGCGCCTGTAATTAAGTGTGACCGAGAAGGGGCTCAGGTAAAGTCTTGGAGATGTTTGCTACTTTGTGACTAACTCCCTAGGACCAGATTCTGAAGTGTGAATCCAGGAAATGATAATGGTGATTCCTCTATGTGAGGTGACTCTGAGGACACACACACACATATGTACATTTCTATACAAGTATATATTTATGAGACATACATTGACATTTTTAGATAAAGAACAAAGAATACCTAAATACTAACTCTGTTCCTATTTAAGCTTTAATAATAACTTTTTATTGGGCTAAGACCTGATTAATGTTCATTAAGTTTTTTCAGAATAAAACCTGAGGAATTCAGGCTTGATGGATTGACATAATTAAAGTGTATAGTTTATTTCTTTGGGATTTGTTTGCTTGTTTGTTTGTTTGTTTATTTTGAGACAGGGTCTCACTAGCTCAGGCTGGCCTTGAAATCACTGTGTACTCCCTGCTGGCCTCGAATGTGTGGTGATCCTCTTGCCTGAGCCTCAATAGCCTTAGCCCAATGCTGGGACTCCAGGTGTGCGGCACCATGCCTAGCCTTAAAATGTATAGTTTATACTTAAAATTCTTAAGGAATGTTATGATTTAGATCAAGAATGACCCCAAAACTCTTGATGGGAACTTGAGGTGCTTTAGTATGTGCATCCTTGGTTTCTAGATCTATATGATGATAACAGCAATACTACTTGTTATATAAAATAGGAATTCAGAATTTGGAGTACAGCTTTATCCATATGTGGACTGCTAGAATAGTACACAGGAACCATGTGCATGAGTGTCCATGTGTGTATGTGTTTACACTGGCTTGATTTCTGGATGGTTGGGATCATAGACTCCGCCTTTCGCAGCCTGGATCCCTTCCATGTGGGAATCAGCTCCATCAATGGTGCTGAAGACCTTGAGACATCTCGGTGCAGGACAGGAGTTGGGGTCTTCTGTGAATACAGGCAGGAGGGAGCTGGGGGCAGCAGCAGACCCCAAAAACCATGTATGAAAAGCCTTGATTGCCTGCTGTTCAGAGTGATGGTATTCGTCTAGCAATGAGGGATGAGACCCCCAGGTCCGCCCAACTCTGCTGTTCTCTCTGGCCAGTTGCAGGAGTCATTTACTGTTAGCTCTATGTAAGGGGCAGCGGCTTGCTGTGTAACCAGTCTCTTAGGGCTTTTGGAGGATGCCAGGGGATAACTTCCAGGCTCCTGCACCTGGGCAGAAATCAGTGTCGTTTCCCTTGCTCGCAGCTTCTCACTGTGACCCGGACTGGGGGAGAATCCAGCTCCATGGAGTCCACTGCCCTTTTCTGTGCCCCTGGAACCCCCGGTCACATCACTCACTGACATTTATTCACTCATTTGCCAACCATGCCTTGTTCCCGTATGAGTTGAATAGCAAAACAGGGGAGCAGTGGCTGCTTAATACTTCTGCAAGGCATTGTTCAGTAAAAGTTACTTTTTTCTGAGACAGAGTTTTGCTATGTAGTTCAGGCTGGCGTTGAGCTCATTTTGTAGCCCAGGCGGCCTTGAACTTGAAGTGATCCTCTTACCTCACACTCCTGAGTGCTGGGATTATAGGCGTGTGCCACCACACCTGGCCAAAATGCATATTTTTACAACTTATTTCACTTGTGTTTTTAACATGACGGCTCTTCTTTTCTTTTGCCCCTTAAATGAATATTTCAGAAAAATTATAGGTAAAATGTTAAAAATCGGATAAATTGTACAAACTGCTTAGGTGGTTAGCATTTGTCTGCTAATTGGCTAGAGGGGACACAAGAAGTATAAGCATAGAAACTCTTCAGATTTATACAGAGGATCCAAATCACAGTGCATAAACAGACTGGAATTACATGGTAGTGTGGTAGCTGATTGGACACAAATGTCTAAAACTTGGCTCGTTGTCACTTAGAGAAAGGCTGGGATTGGTACGTGTGCGAAGGCTTTCAGCATATACTGTGTCAACAAGCAGAAGCCCTGAAGGCCCTCGGAGTGACCCCAGAATTAAAGGTGAGCCTGTTGGGGTGTAAAGGTGCTGTTGGGGAGTGAGGCTGGGGAGCCGTATAATGCTAGGAGTGTAGACGTGAGCTCTTCTCTTCCTGTGGCCTCTGATTTGCTTGCTATATAGAAGGAAAAGACTCAGCTCGGGAATCTTTAATGTCTTCTTCTCCGGGATCTAAGGTGGAAGAGGGTTTATGCATGTTGCCCCTCCACCTGGCACTGTGACGAGAAGCTTTTTAAGGACAAGCGGGTACAAGTGCACTTAGGTGAAAGGCCTTACAGATGGTACAGGAGAGTCTGCCATCCAGACACAGCTGTGTATGTGTGTGTGTGTGCGCGCGCGTGTGTGTGCACGCACGCTCATGCTCGCACACACCAGAATCACCGAATCACCCCCCTTCCACCTCAGGATGAAGTGTTACACAATTTTTGGAAGCGTTACCTGCAGAAGAGTAAGCAGGCATATTGTGCAAACCCAGTCTACAGCAGAAGGAAGACTGAGGTAGGCACAGGTCTGAAAAGCCGGGTTGCAAGATATGTAATGAGTGTGGAGATGGAGATCGAGGAGCTCAGGACTGCTGTGGGCTCCCAGCTCTGCCTCCTCAGGGTGCTGGGTGCTGGATGTGTGTCAGTACCTGCCGGGGTGCTGGACAGAGGACATCACATTTGAACCTATTCCCTGCCTTCCCAGCTTCCTTCTCTCACAAGCTCCTCATGCAAGTTTTCTGTCCCTGTAGTAAGGTCGGATTCTAGGCCCTCAAGGCTGGGATCTCGGCTTCTGACTGCAATCAGTCTCTGGAGGCTGTAGCAGCCCAGGAGACCCCGGCTTTGCAGAGGTGCTCACCCCGTGTACCCTTTAGAGTACACAGAGGTGGTGATGCAAGGAGGGTAGTTGGTGAACCTGCTGGGCACCTGCTGTAAACCTCGAGTGCTGCCAGAGCTCAGGCACACAGGAAATCATTGGCCAGTGGGTCAGAAAGACAGCGCGATTGCGGGAGGAAAGATCTGGAGAAGGGAAAGTTCATGCAAGTGATTGGTGTTAGCCAGGTCCAAAGGCAGGCAGGAGCCAGCGGTGCGCATGGTGCCTTCTCCCAGAAGTGCAGGGCCTCAGACGCAGGGCCTGACGGGCGCTTGCCGTCCTCTGCAGTATTTCTTCTCACTGTGTTTGTCATGAGCAGGAGTCGCCCCACCACCCCGACAGGGACCATGTTAAGCCCTGTGCAGCAATTTTACTGGCAGTATTTTGCAAACAGATGTTGGAAGGAAACGTCTGTCATTCAGATGGGGTGAGTGGGCCCGAGCTGCTCAGCGACATAAACTGGACATCTGGCCTCGACAGTGGAGCAGAGTCACAATCTGACGCCCCAGGGCCAAAGCCCTTTGCTGCCCTGAGAACACTGCACTCAGGTAAAGATGAGAAGCGGGGTGCTGGGGTATTAAAGCCCGGCTTGGCTAGCAGTCACTCAGTGCACCCCTCAGGGCCTGGTGAGGAGAGGCTAGGGCCTGGGAGGCCTGAGTGAAGTCTTCACATTCAAAAAAGCACATCGTCAGCCGGGTGTGGTGACGCAGGCCTGTCATCCCAGCACTTGGGAGGCTGAAGCAGGAGGATCACTGGGTTCAAGGCCAGCCTGGGCTGCAAAGTGAGACCCTGCCTCAAAAAAATCAGAAAGGTACATCATTTGTCCTCCTCCTCTTCCTCCTCCTCCTCTTCCTCCTCCTCCTCGTCGTCCTCCTCCTCCTCCTCCTCCTCCTCCTTCTCCTCTTCTTCTTCTTCTTCTTCTTCTTCTTCTTCTTCTTCTTCTTCTTTTTGTCTTTTTTGAGACAGGGTTTCACTGTATGGTTCAAGCTGGCCTTGCATTCACTTTGTAGCCCAGGTTGGCCTCAAACTTGAAGCAATCCTCCTGCCTCAGCCTCTGAATGCTGAGATTACAAGCATACATACCTGACTCACATTGTCTTTTGTGTAGTCTTTATAGGGAAATAAAGAGATCTTTAAAGAGTCCAGAGAGGAGGCTAGCTCCAAAAAAATTGCCTATGTGTGGGCTCAGACTTGTTAAAGAAAGTTACAGCAAAAAACATTGTAGCTGTCCTTCCCTAAAATAGATGAGCGGTGAAGATAATATACCCAGTTTCTAAACACAGACTCAAGCAAGCTGAGTAAATGTTATTTATTTGTGCAACTGCTTTCTGGTTCAATTCCTTAATTTAAAATAAATAAGGAGGTCAGGTATGGTGATGCACAACTGTCATCCCAGCACTCAGGAGGCTGAGGCAGGAGAAGCACTGGGAGTTGGAGTACAGCCTGGGCTACCCCTGAGTTTAAGACCAGCCTGCACTACATAGCGAGACCCTATCTCAAACAAACAAACAAAAATAAACCCCGATAAGATTAAAATGTTCATGTTCACTGCTAAAAACCTGAAATCTCTCTCTTGGACTCCATCCCACGCCCCTCACACAGGCGCCGGTCAGGCTGTGCCCTGGCGAAGCGCTCAGGGGGCCAAGATGAGTTGTAGCTTAATCTTCAGATGTGTGAAGTGGCAGAGTTGTTCTGGTGGTGCCCTTTTGTTGTGCAGCATAGTTGTTTGCATCTTGTCTCTCAAGGTCTCGCTCTGTTCTATAGAAGCAGCCTCTGTCTGTTCCGGGTCCCTGGATGGCGTGGAGTACTCGGAGCGGAAGGAGAAAGGTGTCGTGAAGATGACGGTACCCAGGACACTCGCCCTCTGCTACTTGTCCTTACTGTGGCAGAGAGAAGCAGTGACTCTCTCAGATCTGCTGAGGTGAGCCCAACTTCCTGTGCAGCAATGACACCTTTGGGTATTTTGTTTGTTGCTTTTTTGAGACAGGATCTGCTCTGTAGTTCAGGCTGCCCTGAACTCACTAGGGAGGCCAAGGCTGGCCTCAAAATCTCAGGGATCCTCCTGCCTCAGCCTCCCGCATGCTGGGATTTTAGGAAGGCACCACCACATCTGACCCTGTTTTTGATTCTTCTTCTTTGTCTTCATCATCCTCTTCGTCTTCACCAGGGATTGAACTTATGACCTCACACTTGCCAGGCAAGCACATTCCTGGCTCAACCTGTTTTTGGATATTGTTAATTTCATAAGGGGGCTTAATATGTGAAAGTAGCTGAAAGGTTGGAGAAACTGAGTTGTATTCTGAAGCTTAATTCCCCCTTAGCTATTTATCTTCTCATTTTTCTTACTTTTTTGTTAGAAATAATAGTATTTACTTCACATGAGATGTAGGGCAATGAATTATCTCATGTGAAAGTGAAAGTGACATAAAAGCACCTGATCAGAAGTATTGAATTTTTTTGTTTGCTTATGTATTTGTTTCATTTTTGAGACAGGGTCTCACAATGCAGTTCAGGCAGACCTTGAACTCACTGTGTAGCCCATGCCAACCTTGAACTTGTAGCAGTCTTTCTGCCGTGGCCTCCCGAGTGCAGAGGTCGCAGGTGTGCAGCCCCACCTGCGAGTGTTAAATATTTTTTAGGAAAAGATGAATTTAAGATTAGCAAAATTAAGGACAGGTGGCTCACACCTGTAATCCCAGCATTTGGGAGGCTGAGGCAGGAGGATCGCTGTAAGTTGGAGGCCAGCCTGGGGTACAGAGTGAGTTCAAGGCCCACCTGGACTACATAGTGAGACCCTTTCTCAAAAAGACAAAAAAAAAATTAGCAAAATAGTTACCAGTAGTTGACAAAGCATGCTTTCCTGTTGAAAGAGCTAAAATACAGATTATCTGTGTTATGAAAGTTGTAAATAAAACCATGAAGAGGAGCTGCTATAAGAGGCAGCACGCATTTTGATTTTTCAAAATAGTCTACAGGATTTTATAGCTCACGAGTTGCATAACCACAGCGTGGTGTGTAAGACTTTCTCACTGGACCAATACAGCAAAATCATGAAAGTATGACTCTTCCCTCCTGTGCTCTGAGGAACTGGACTGGGTTTAGTGCCCACAAAGATTTGGAGCCAGATTCCTCCCTCTGCCATTTCTCTGTTAAATCACCTTAAAGTTATTTAGTTTCCCTCTGCTTCCATTTCCTGGCTGGTAAAAGTCATAGCCACCTCACAGGGTTGTAGGACTCTCAGCAAAACTGCATCATAAGAACCTGGTCCTCGGCCAGGCATGGTGGTGCTTGCCTGTGATCCATGCCAGTAATCCGGGAGGCTGAGGCAGGAGGATTACCCTGTGAGTTTGAGGCCACGCTAGGCTACACAGTGAGTTTAAGGCCAATCAAAACATAGCAAGGGGGGCTGAGGATTTAGCTCAGCGGCATAAGCGGCCTGTCTTGTGAGCAGGCAGTTGTGAGTTCGATCCCTGGTACCGATAAAAAGGAAAAAGACAAAAAAAATATAGCAAGACCCTGTCTCAAATTAAAAAGAACCCCTTTTGGTCACGATTGCTATTAAGTCCACCGTTGCCATCATCATCATCATCATTGTTCATTATTGGCACCCGGCTCTTTTATTAAATGAAAGGCTTCCAGTAAATGAAGGTTGTGCCTTTGAATTCGGCCACATCAGCCTATAACCAGGCCTTTCCCAAGTATGATTAACTCGGCCCACAGAGCCCGTGATTTGGGGGGGGTCCTGCCTCTGACTCAAGCTTCCGCCTGCACTGTGTGTGCATCAGGTGATATCACCCTCACGCAGGCCCTAATTACCATCCTCGCTAGCAACTCTGGCTTCTGTCTCCAGCCCAGACTTGTTGGCCCAGGGCTAGCCCCGAATATTTATCTTACAGCTGCCTGCCTGCAGGACACACTCCTTGGACATCCTTGTGCTATCTGGAGATCTCAGGGCTGCCAAGTGGCCCTGTCTGTCCCATCTGTCCCCCTGCCGTGCTTCTCCTACAGTGCTGGCTGGCTTGGTGCACACTGTACCCTGCTCCATCTTGTCTGGAGCCCAGGACATCTCCATTTCTTCCTCCCCCATGCACAGTTGGTCATTACGTGCTGTCAGCTCTCCTTCCAGAACAACCCTCAGAATCATCCCTTCCTGCATCTGAGACATCTCTGTCCTCACCCATGTTGCTTCACAGTTTCCCAGCCAAGCTCAGTGTCTGCAATCTTGTGTGGTTCCTGCCCATTTTCCTGCTGATAACCAGAGAGATCTTTAAAACCATATCCGTCTCCTCATGTCCTTGGAGCTGGGTAAAAGGGCTGGCCGTCCTGCCCAGGGTGACCCTAAGGACCTTGCGGCTGTCCTGGGCGTCTGTGGAGATCTAGGAGGTGTACTTTTAGGGGAGCATCTATGGAGACAGGGTACGGGGAGGACAGTCCTCTCCTCCCTTCACCCCTGCCCCCACACCCAGAATTGAAAACTGCTTTCTAGGAGATGGGATTTGCTAGTGGGGCGTTTCTTGTGCTCCATGAAGTATGTATTTAGGAACAGAGTTTAGGGCTTGGCAGAAGAGGAAAAGAGACCAGAACCATTCATCCCCGTTTTTTGTTTTTCTGCCAGAAAGAATTCGAAGCCATCGGTCCTCTGGGCGTGGTTTCCTGACCAGCAGCTTCAGCAGGGGCCAGGCAGGAAAGCTGGTGTCAGACCCGGTCTAGACCCACCAAGCCGGAACCAGCCGCCAGGGGATTCATAGGGACCTGAAGTCTCAGAACTACGGCTAAACTTAGAAAAATAAGTATCTAAAGGAGGGAATTGGAGCCTGGTCAGAGTCCCCCAGGCCTGAGGACAATCATGTCCGCCCTGCCTTACTCTGCTGTTTAAACTTTCTGCAGTGGCCGCAGTCTTTAAGATGGATTCATAAACCCCTTCAAGCATCCTGGAAAGGTCCCTGCCTCCCTAGCAATAATGATTATAAAGAAAACCAGCCAGCACTTATCTGTCCCCAAGTATCCCCCAAGCCTCCCTGCACTGTGACCTGTGAGGTGCAGGTGTGGGTCGAGTCCTGGCCATCAGGAAGTCCTAGGCCAGAGCAGGAATAAATGGGTCCATACGCAAACCAGAAAGTGCTCAGACAGGAAGTGCAGTTCTCAGGGGACCTAGGGTGTCGTGAAATAGCGTGATTAAAGGGCCACTTTATTTTTTTAATTACTTAATTTGGGTTTTTTTTTTTAAGATAAGGTCTCTCTCTAGCCCAGGTTGGCCTTAAACTCACAGCAGTCTTCCCGCTTCGGCTTTCCAGGTGCTAGGATTATGGGATGGGTCCCCACGCCCAGCAAGGTGGCTGTTTTGGATTGCCTGAGTTACTGCTTGGTGTTTTTTGTAAATGTCTAATTTTTGTTCTAGCAAGACATGCAATGTTATTTATAATTTAATGAAGAGTAGAATTATGATTTTTAAAAATTTTCCTTACATAACTTCTTTGAAAAAGATGTGCTTTTTGTTATTTGCATACCACGTTGCTTTGGAGGGGAGAGGGAGAAGTCGAGCTCACTTTGAATGAAAGAGGCAGCCCTTGAGACTGAGAAGTCCTGGCATTCCAGGCAGACAGACCACTAGTGCCAAACCCTAAAGCAGGAGCAGGCTGGGTACGATCGAGGGCACATGGCAACACTGCCCGGAGGAGAGCGTCAGGAGAGGGAGATTGCCAGCATGGCACAGCCAGCTCTTTGTAGGGAAAGTTACAAGTTGAGGTGTTTCCTAGATTGAAGCAGCATTCATGTGTGGTAATACACACACTTTAAAGATGTGCTGTTTGCCGGGCATAGCGGTACTCACATGATTCCAGCCACTTGTGAGGCTGAGGCAGGAGAATTCCAAGGTCAAGGCCAGCCTGGGCAATTTGGCAAGGCCCTGTCTCACAAAGTGAAAAGGACTGGAGATGTAGGTCAGTGGTAATGCCTGCCTAGAATGCAGAAAACCTTGGGTCAATCCCACACACGGGGGGTGAGGAGTGAGTACAGAATTTGCTCAACTAGGGCCGGGGATTTAGCTCAGCAGCATAAGCACCTGTCTGGTAAGCATAAAGTCTCAAGTTTGACCCTGGTACCAAAAAAAAAAAGAGAGAGAGTTTGCTTAACTAATTCTTTCCCTTTGGTTTTTTTAAACTTAAGTTTATTGGTACATTTTAGCTATTCATAATGATTGATTTATACAGTCAGTTTGTACTGAACATGACATAATTTGATTCATTTTTTTCTCTATCTCCCTATCCTCCCTTCAACACCCTTTTTTTAAAAAACAAAGTTTTTTTAAAATTTTCCCTCTGAAGTAAGATTTTTAAGAGTTTGCAAAATCAATACAGAACTCTGATTGAAGCCTTTTCTTTTTTAAAAATACAGATTTGTCGAAGAGGATCATATTCCTTACATAAAGGCTTTTCAGAATTTCCCAGAAGAGATGAAATTGTATGGACGTGACAAAGGAATCTTTGCTATAGAGGTGAATTTCTCCTTTTTTTTTTTTTTTTTTTTTAACTTTATAGCTTTCTTAATAAGTCACTAATAAGACACTGTTGTAGCTGCGTATGGTGGCACTTGCCTGTAACCCCAGCATTTAAGAGGCTGAGACAGGAGGATCACTGCAAGTTCAAGGCCAGCCTGGGCTATAGAGTGAGTTCAAAGCCAGCCTTTATTACATAGTGAGACCCTGTCTCAAAACAAAACAAAAAAATCACAGCTGTGTGGAATTCATATTCTCTGCCTGAGTTACTGCTTGGTGTTTTTTGTAAATGTCTAGTTTTTGTTCTAGCAAGACATGCAGTGTTAGTTATAATTTAATGAAGAGTAGAATTATGGTTTTTAAAAATTTTCTTTATGTGACTTCTTTGAAAAAGATGTGCTTTTTGTTATTTGCATACCATGTTGCTTTGGAGGGGAGAAAACGTTTTCTCCTGTTTGGGGAAACACAAGTCTAAGTCTTGTCTGTGTTCCCTCTTTCCCCCAAAATAAGACTGAGCTGGAAAATAATCGTCCTTGAAAATTAGAGACCAATAACAGTCAGGTATGGTAGCTTCCAGCACTCAGGAGGCTGAAGCAGAAGGATTGCTTCAGATTCAAGGCCAACCTGAACTGCACAGTGAAACCCTGTCTCAAAAAGACAAAAAAGAAAAGAAAAAATTAGAGACCAAAAATGCCAGCTCTGACCAATCAGCCTTTCCTGGCCTTCGGAAAACTAGGCCCTGTTCAGAGAGCCCCTGATGTCCCGGTTGTCAGCTGGGATTCCTCCCCAGCCTGTTGGGCTCGAATGTGTTGGAGACAGCAAGTGAAACACACACAGTTCCGGCATCTCTTCCCTCACATTAGAGAACTGTGTATGGTCCAGGGTCACATAGAGCCCTTACTGAAGTCCTGCGTGACACCCAAAGCTTGAGCATGACTCCAGTTTTATACAAGAGCCGGCGCTTTGGAAGGCGAGGTAACCTGTCCAGGCTGAACACCTGGTGTCTAGGCCAGAGTGACACTGATTTAGGCTTCATACCCATCGTGTCACCTTCTGGTCTGTCTGCCTTGTTCTTCAAAACCCTTCACTGGCCTCGGTGCAGCGAGGGCTTGTCACACTGGGTCCTGTCCAGCAGTCATTTGGAAGCGTCAGCTAGAAGGAAATGGATGCTGCAAATGCAGATAAGTCGGTCTGTGTCTCCTGTGACATTTAGGTCTCAGGCTGTTAAATAGCGGCAGCATTCTGCTTCTGCTCAGGGTGACATGGAGACTGATTAGGACCTTCAGCTCAGTGTCCTAACCAGACTCAGGTGGGAACGGTTCCAGGCTTCGGTGCTTTAGACCTCAGTTGTTACTCATGAGGAACCCACCCTGCATGGTCATCACTGTTCTCTGGAGAGGGGTCTGAGCCGCAGGCATCCTCTGGCCTGCTGCTCCTCCCCGGCATGGAGCCTTGCTGGCCATATCAGGCCTTGGGGTTGAGAGGGTTAGGGTTAGGGACCGGGTGAAGCAGCGGGAACAGGAAGCAGAGCAGAGCGCTCCAGACCAGTCACGAAACCTCCAGCAGCCGAGGTAGGGAAGGCCCAGTAGGCAGAGAAGGATTCGGTGGAAGGGGCCCGCAGTGTGGGTTTGAGTCTCCACTCAGCGGAGTGAGATGACAGTTGCTGAGCGTCGGCAAAATCAGAATAACCAAGCTTCGGTGCTTCTGAGGCCCCCAGCCCTGCTTATGTCTGTCGCAGTGTGCGTGAGCATCCCTGCTCTGAGGCACCCTGGGGCCGGTGCTCAGGAGGGCTTGAGTAGGTGACTGAAAGCCCGTGCCTTCAGAGCAGGCAGCTGCACCCTGCTAAGCGGTCCTCTGGGAAGAGCCATCTGGTCCCCGGCCCCAGTAGACAAGGCTGCATGGCTTCACATCGGTTCACTTCTCCTCCAGAGACCCGCGCTCCAGAGTCAGCGGCTGGAGGTAGTTACCAGCCTCCCCTTGGCTCACCCAGCACCCTCCCCCATTCCCCTAGCTTTCCTCCCTGCTTTCTGCCCCACCCCTTTTTTCTCCCAGAGCTCTGCCAAGTGGGATTTAACTCAGGCTCCAGCCTGGCCCTCCAGGCCAGTAATGTTTGCTTTTTTTTTTTTTTTTTTTTTTAGTACCAGGGATGGAACTCATGACCTCACACTTCCCAGGCAGGCACTTATGCCACTGAGCTAAATGCCCGGCCACTTTGTATTTTGTGGTACTCAGGCATTGTTATCACACTGTGACACTGCGTGAAGCACACTTTGCTATTGTGTGTGTGTGTGTGTGTGTGTGAGTGTGTGTGTGAGTGTGTGTGTGTAGGTATGTGTATGTTTAAAATCTATATCTTTAGGGGCTGGAGATTTAGCTCAGCAGCATAAGCACCTGCCTTGCAAGTGTGTGGTCGTGAGTTCGATCCCCAGTACCGATAAAAAAGAAAAAGACAAAAACAAATCTATATCTTCTGGCTGAATCAATCCTTTTGTTTTTGTTTTTGTTTCTGTTTTTGAGGTAGGGTCTGGTTGTGTAGTCCAGACTGCCTTGGACTTGCTTATGCAGCCCAGGCTGGCCTTGAACTGACAAGAATCCTCCTCCCTCAGCCCCCCAAACACTGGGATTACAGGCGTGCGCCACCCCCCCACCCCGGCTCTCTTCTCAGTTTATACTGAGCTTGTCTGTTTTGACAGTTTTTGCCTTTGAATGGGTTTCCTCTGCTGTGACTCTGGCTCTGCCATGAGACTCCCAGAGTGAGAGCCTTCTTTCCTCATGGTGTCTCTTAAGAAGCTTTTTTTGTTCTTTTCAGTCTTTTTCCTTTCTTCCTTCTGGTTAATTCAAAAGACCTGTCTTCCAGTTCACAAGTTCTTCCTTCTGTGTATTTCGTCTCCTGCTTTGGCACTCAACTCTATTTTTATATCATTGATGGAGTTTCCCAACTGCAGGTTTCTGGTTCTCTCTGTATCTCCCTGTGTTGAATTTCTTTTTCAGCTCATGAGTTGCTTTCCCATTGCCATTGAGATATTTTTCTGTTCTCCTGTATCTCGCTGAGGTTGTTTGAGATCATGACTGTGAATTCTTTTTCAGGCACGTCATCGGGAAATTTCTTAAGTCCGTTCCTGGAGACTTCCTGTGTCCCGTGCAATGTCCTGTTTCTTGTGTCCCTGTACTGGTTTCTGTGCATTCCGGTCATCTCTTCCAGTTTTTTGGAGGCTTTCCCTGTATGGAGAGTCCTCTGGGGGTGGATATTGGGCATGTGGGCTTTGGATCAGGATGACTGTGGCGGTGTGGTCCCAAAGTTCCTTCAGCGGTACCCTCACTGCTGGCACCTGTGGCAGCATCATGGCCTCAGCTGTGGGTGTCCAGGGCTATGGCAGCATCTTGTGGCTCTGTGAGGGCGGGACTGCTGTCTACTGGCTGTTGGGCTGGCAGGAGACATTTGGCAGGCTTTCTGACTGTGGGGACAGTGTCCAGCCCACTCTCGAGCTGGACTCTGGCGTGGAGGTGCCCAGAGCCAGCCTGTGCCATGACAGCCTCACCTGGGAAAAGGGCACCACCTCCACAGAAGTGGGGATACGGGCTGCCTGGCAGTTGAGGGTGGTCTGCTGCACCCATCTTTGCCTCCCTTCCCTCTAGCCACTTTTAAGATATTCTGCTCCTTTCTGGTTGTTGGTATGAGTTAGATTTTCAGGTGCCCTGTCCTTTTGACTAGGTTTTACCTAGCTTAGCTGTAGTTTTCATCAGATTTGGGAAATTGTCTTCCAGTATGTTTCCAAACATCTTTCTGTCCTTCCCTTTCTTTCTCTCAGCACACTAGTCACATACTAGACAGCTAGACCTTGTGCAGACCCACGAAGGCTTTTGTGTCCTTCACCCCTGGCTTGCTTAGTAGGTTTCATTTTCAGTTTCTATTGATGTGGCTTCAGAATCACTGATCAATACTTCTTGAGCTTTTAGTCTGTCTTAGATGTTCAGTGTTTTTCATGTGTAGAAATTTCCTTTCTGTTTTGTTTTATTTTGTCTTGTGGTACAGGAGATTAAACTCAGGAAGTGCTAAGCTACATCTCCAGCCCTTTGCATTTTTTCTTTTGAGCCAGGATTTTGTTACACTGTGTAGGCCGTCCTTGGATTTGAGATCCTCCTGCTCCAGCCTCCCACATAGCTGGGATTAGCACTGTGTGCTGCCACGCCCAGCTAGACCTTCCATTTTAATATTCTTTCTTCCATTTCTCTTCTTGTTATGCTAGTGTTTTCTTTTATACCCTTCAGTATATCAGGGATGTTTACTGTCATTGTCACAGTCATTTCTGGGTCTCTTTCTGTTGATTGGCTTTTCTCTTGGCTATGGATCATTTTCCTGCATCTTTAACACTGAGATTTTTTGAGTGGATACAGGGGTTGTGAATGTTCCTTGGCGATGGAGTGTTTTTTCAGCTGGGTCAGGTCAGCTGGGCCCTGTAGGCACTTGCTGCTGAGCTTTGCCAGGAGACCGCAGAGCCTCCATCCCAGGGCTGACCTGGCCACCTGCAGGCCACCCGTCCCTCCTCAGTGCTGGCCCTGGCTTCCATGAGGCTGCGCATCATCAGCTCTGCTGCTTTCCAGTGATTTCCCCGCCTCGGGTTTCTGCGGCATGTGTCCAGATCAGTTCTCAGCGCAGACTTGAGAGGACTCTGCCCGCACATGCCAGTTGCCTCGGCCACCAGGAGCGCACCATTGACCTGTCGCTGGGCCCTGCCACAGAGCAGCTTGCTCCCCCCACCCCCCGCCTGCTTCTGCCCTGCAGTTTGGGAACTGGCTGCAGGCAACTCGGGGCCACCTCTGCAGTGCTCTGGGACTGCAGTCCTGTGTCCTGGGTTGTCCGGTGCCTGATACTCTTCTCTCTGTCTTTCCCAGGTTTCTGGGTTTATGGTGGGAGGTTCATTCCCACAGCTGTTCATCTTCCAGGGCAGAAACGGAAAGAAACCTTCTGAATAGTGACTTTTCAAACGATGGGGAATAGA